TTTACTGCCACCTATCGACAATGTAGTGTACTACAGGCTATAATTCATATTTGTTAAATTAACATGGGTTACACACGTATGTCTTTATTTCTCCCCAGGTGCTCACCTGAACCCCGCTGTGTCGCTGTGTTTCTGCATTTTGGGGAAGCTGCGGTGGGGACAGCTGTTGCCCTACTGTGTGTCACAGATCTTTGGGGCTTATGTGGGAGCAGCGCTGGTCTACGCGCTCTACTACGGTTTGTCTTTCTGCTATTATTGTATGTGTTCCTGCAGTACCTGTCAGAAATGCTGACAACTTTTTTATTTTAATCCCAGAAGAAATAAAGATAAAGCCAAACCAATCAGTTCTATAAAAATAGAATAATATAGAAAAATGCAGAACATTTTGAAATAATTTAATGAATAAATAAATGAGCTCATTTCTCACCACAAAAAAAACTTGGATATATTTGGGCACCTCCTCAACGAGCCGCATATTAAGGTACAAAAACCATCAGCAATATTGTATTAGAGTTCAAATATGTTTCAGTAAAAGCATAAAATAAGGCAAATCACTGCAAAACACAGAAAAAAAAGGTGACCCACACATTATCTGATCAGCCACATTATCATCTGTCATAATTTTGGTTCCATGGTAAAATATTAAAATTGTTTTATTGCTTGGCACTGCTCAGGCAGATCAATAAAAATGACAACACTGTATTATTTTTTACAATGCTCAGGTAATATTATTTAAAATGTTAAGAGCAGCAATAACCAATGAGACAGTTTTGAAATTGGTTTAAAATATGCCGACCCCAAACTTCACTTCTTTACAGAAAAAGAAGAAAAATCAAAACTTCTAGATTTGGGAGGTTTTGTCATGTTTTAGTCTTTAGTTAAAAATGTGAGACAGTGGCTGAGGAATAAAGTGGGCTGCCATTTTAATAAAGCAAGGATTCAGCTTTTCTGCACTAGCTGCTTTTTTGATCACAATTTATTTTTCTGTGCTGTGAACATCTGCAGCAGACTGGAGTAAGTCTGAAGGGATGAAGTTTAGATAATCTGATAATTAGCGGAGCTTCAGGATTTAAAACCGGCTCAGTTGAAACAGGATTTAAGGGATCAAATAAAACACCTGCAGAGATTAAAAGTTCATTAAAGGATGCTTAATTTATTTTTCAAACTAATACTAAGACATTCAGCGCAGAGATTGTAATAATATTTAGAAAAGTAAGACATAAACCTAATCATTTTGTCTCTTGCTAAACCTGTTCTTTTTTTTTATTTTTTATTTTTTGCAGATGCTATAATGGAGTTTAGTGGAGGCGTGTTGACCGTCTATGGCCCAAGCGAAACAGCATCTATATTTGCCACGTATCCAACTGAGTACCTCCCGTTAGGAGGGGGTTTTCTGGACCAAGTCAGTGTTTATCAAGATGAAAACTGAAATCTTTAGTAGTAGAACCTTCTTTTGATTCTAAAATCTTAATTTCATCAGGTAGTGGGCACTGGAACGCTGCTGTTGTGCATCCTGAGTTTGACCGAAAAGAGGAACGCCCCCGCTCCCCCTGATCTGATTGCTCCCATAGTTGCAGGCGTCGTGCTCGGCATCATCATGTCCATGTCGGCTAACTGTGGCGCTGCTTTAAATCCCGCTCGAGACCTGGGGCCACGCCTCCTCACGCTGACTGCAGGCTGGGGAACCGAAGTCTTTACGTAAGAACGTTCTCCTGCGTTTGCTCATTCACCTCGAATTCAGCAGTCAGACAACTGAAGAATGAACACCTAACACATTTATAGGAACTCTTTGCTCTTTAGTTGCGATCTGAAAGATGAGTGACTGTTTTACTCAACGCCTGATAAGAATCTGTTGTTTGTTCCACAACACAAGCTGTGAATAGGATTTTAAGAGCCTCGTTCCACAAATACTTGGCTCACCAGATATTATCTGCTCAAGGCGGCGTGTGTTGACTCTTCAGTTTCAGGGCAAAACTCCAAAAAGATTTAAGGTGCGGCTTTCCGCTGCTGACTCATTATTTACAACACTTGCAAAGAAAAGCTGCTGCTCTTGTCGTTTTATTTATAATTCAGTTTAACAAGTGATTATTAAAAAGTGATTATTGCCTGGACTGGAAAGGGTGTCTAGGAAGATGATTACTGCAACCTATCCATTTTCCACCAGTGAGAGCCCACACATCCATTTCATATGGATATTGTTAAAGTAATTTCCTTAGGTCAAGAAAAAAAAAAATCAGAGTGCAGATTAAATTTTTCAGAGCACGTCTCAAAAGTCTTACATCAGAAAAGTCCATTTTAAGTTGACTAATATGCTTTCAAAATCTATAGAAAGGCTGATTGTGATTTTTTTGTCCCATGGACATTTAGATTTGTCTTAGTTTACAACACTGATAATGTCTTGCTACCTGGCAAACATTTAAATCTTGAACATTTTTGTAATTTTATTATTTCTCCTCAGGTCTTTCAACTACTGGTTCTGGGTACCAATTGTGGCTCCGATTATTGGGGCTCTTACAGGCACTTCTTTGTATTTGATCTTCATCGAATGGCAGCTGCCTGATGAACCACAGGAGAGTCACCCAGAAATATTCTCCATCAGTCCGAGCATCAAGCAGTCCGTCGCTTTGTGGGAAAAAGAAGAGGAACCAAAGTCGACATGTTTTTAATTCCTAAATGTTAGTGAAAGACCTTTAAGCCTTCATGCCAATGCAAATAACTACTAATTGTTCGTTCCAGTTGGTTGGTGATATTTTACAAAGATGAAGTATTTAGCTCTGCAGGTAAAACACAATCATCTCCTGAGTTATGTCAATGAACTGCGTTAATCCTACTTAAAAACTACTGTAAAATTGCTGAGGTAACATAACAGTTTTACTCTGTACTTCTCTACAATTGAAAGTTGCAGTTCAATATGCATCGGTTGCATCAAAAACTCATGTTAATCTGAACAATTAATAGTAAATTACTGTAATATGTTAACAACTTGCTGCTGTCTTTTACAAGAAGACTGTAAAATACACCCCAGCATGAACCAAAGTAATCCAAAACCGAAGCGAAAACAGATTACTAGAACAAGTTACTGAATTCTTCGGAATACTGTCAAATAAAACAAAACCGGCTGAGAAAATCAGAAACCAAGAAAACTAAACTGCATTTAAACCATAGCACAAAACCAGAACTCAAACCAACATGAGAACCAACAAGTCAGGAGAAGAACAGGAAATTTGTTTAGTGGTGATTATTGGTACTGAGACTCTTCAGTACTGTATGCTTCAGTGATTTTAACTACTTCTACCACAGGGCTCCATTCTTGAACCTGCTGCCACTTGGTGCTATTCACTCGTAATCTTTTTTTTTTTTTTTTTTAAGAAACAAGACCAGTCTCATGTTTAAGCTCAATGTCAACTGCAGCACCCTACTACGTTTATGTTCCCTGATTCATGTTATGTGACAAAACCAGTATTACAAATGGTGATGTGGGACTGTACTTTTCCTTTAAACTCAACAAATGCTAAAATGTTGACTACCTGTGCAATATGTTCTGCTGTTAAATTTTCTGCAACTACATATTCCACAGTAAAATATCAGTGGTAGCAGTTGAGTTAGTTGGCAACTCAGCCACAAAGTGGTTGGCCACTTTAAATTGTAGAGTGGGGTCAAGAGATGCTGTGGTGTGAAAAGCTGAACGTTTGCGCAAAGTCAACAACTACAGATGTCCAAGCCTTATTTTGGTCTTCACACAGAGCTCTGCATAGAGAGTGGGCTCATGTGCCTCCAATGTTTGGTACCAAAACCAAACATTGGAGGCCATCTGCAGGCTACAAGTAGATCTGAGAAGAAGATCATTTCTACAATTCAATCATTAGATTCTTCTTGCCTCAAGCAAAAATATATAGTGGGCTTGTTTGAAATAATGTATTTTCTTTTATTCATACAAGCTTGTGTCTCAGAGTCTTCTCTGGAAGATGTCATATAAGCTTCATTAAATGTGACAAATTCATACTTTTTTAATGAATAACAAGACATTTAAATTAATTTCATGCTCCCAATGTCAGAGCACCAGAAACCAACAAGTTTCTTTTAATCTCCTGGTGAAGTCCAGAGTGATTATTATATTGCATTTTCTGTGTGTGCAGAAAGTGAGGAATTAGTTCCCTGTGGTGTGAAGTAGGTGCTCAACGCTTGTTGCTGACAGAGGGAGTACTGAATTTTCCTTAAATCCTGAATATGAGTGTGTGAATGTGAATATGAATATGCAGGTGCAAGCAAACCTTAAAGGTTTATCACAAAAGTTTTTCAAATTGGCACTCCAACGCTTCCCAGATGTTCACATTCTATGTTAGTATGTCTAAAATAGAGAGAGACTAAACTAGAACTCGTCTTCTACAAGCATATTTTATATGAGTACAACTTTTTCTACAGGTCATTGAGATGTTTATAGTGCTGCACTTGTTTTTCCTTTGTTTTAACTCAGAGAAATTAATCATATCTGCACAACCAGTCATTTCTTGCTTTAAGACATATGATTTTAAAATTACGACTAAAGTTGCTGTGAAGGTGTGCAACTGACAGGTTTTTTGTTCAAATGAGGTTTTTTTAATAGACCTTTTTGCATGCGTTTGTTTAATTGCACATGCCATTGCATACTGTGTTAAAACAGATGTGTAAAGACACATTTAATCTTTCTTCTTTGTCCATAAAATGTATTCAAAATATGACAGATATGTTAAATAAATGTATAAAAAATTAAGAGTGCTGTATTGTTCACAATTTAAATTCTTACATTGTCACTTCAAGTTTTGAAAATTGATTTCATTTGGATGTTTTGTTTCAAGTAATGAATATTTTCACAACAGTGGAACAATGCTGACAATAAAGAATGCTGTAACGTTTATTTATGTGTAAGTTGTTTTTTTTTTCTTTTAAGAAGTTGTGTTGATTGATGTTTCATTTAATCTAATTTATGGTCTGTATGAAATGCAGATTGTAGTGACATAAAAGAAGTCAGATCGTGGTCAATATATTCTAGAAACCTTACCTGTAATTTGACATAAATCCTATGTAATTTAACTGAAAACCAGCAGAAATTGTGCAGAAAAGCCCTCTTTGGGCTTTCATGGTGAGCAGGTTTGCTTGGTATTACCTTATCGCTTTATAGTTTTTCTTTTTCCATCATTTGCATAAAAATATCAATATTTCAAAAGTCTGTAAGCAGCTGCTCTTTAGGTTTTTCACACCGTGAGAGTCTAATGATAAGAACAAACTGTACAGATAAGCAACTCCAAACAGAACGGTCTGATTGTCTGCTATGTACTCGTCCAAAGGACTCAGAGGAGCCCTCCTGTGAGCGATAACAGTTTTAAAACCCTGCAGGGTTACAGGAGTCCAGAGTTCAGCCAGACAGTTATTCTTTCTATGACATTAGCCCCTTAAATTCACTGATGTAAATTCATGTAAACTATATTGATGTAAATCGTTTTCCTGCTCTAAAATAATCTTGGAAAGCTCTAAATTTAAAGTATTCGTGTATTCATACGTTTTAAAGAAGGTAAAGATGAATTTTATATATTATACATACCTGAGTCAATAAAAGTTATCAAATTAAAATGTTTGTGTTTCTGAACTGTTTATATACACAGTTTATGCCTAACAAGAAAATGGTCAAGAAAAAGAAATACTCCGTTGTATATTAAGTTTGCAAAGAGAGCATTTAGAAGATGTTTTAAGTTTTCTGATGGTCATACAGTAAGTTTCTGTCCTGTAAGTGGACAGAAACAACTTGTTTTATACTCGCATACAATAAGGAAAGAAATCTCTGTGAACTAATTTTTTTGTCTCACTTCTGTAACATTAAGAAATTTGCTGACAGGTTGTAAAACATGTTTAGGAAAAATCTTTTTCGTTTTGGGAGAGAGCATACACTGGTGCAAATGCACAGATAAATGTGCATTTGTCTTTAGATATTTTATTTAGAAAATCAGAGTAAATATCAGCATATGAGAAAAGAAAAGCAAGACAGAAGAAGGTAGAATAAGTGAAACTTGACAAATACAATTCTCCTTTTATATCTCATCAGTTATGTACACGGTGCTTTCCACCCATCTCTCTCCTGCAGGGAGTTTCTCTAAGTTTCTCCCATCTCTGGTTAATTGGTACCTCTGTCCCTAAATCAAACCTGGTTCACAGGAGTTTCGGTCAGAAAAGAGAAGAAAAATCATCTTCACTGAAAACTCCGTTATCTGCTCCATAAGTATAACACTTGCTCAGAAACCTTCATCATCAGTTCATTCTTCCTAGTAAATAAGTGAAAGTTTTATTTTCCAAGACAAACACGGTGTGGGTTAAACAGCCTCTGTGAGGTCCGTTCTATTCTATTATCTGAAAATTTATGGACTCTGTTCACATTGAGCAACCTTCTGACAGAAGCAGCAAATCACATTATCTGTGACAGCGAGTCCACCGCGGTTAATAACTAAGTTATAGCCCGTAGTGTTTATCCAACTCAGTGGGGCGTTAAGGCAAACCAGAAGAGACGAGTGATACGGTCCGCACACCCTCTGATGCTCAGAGCGATTCAGCCCCAGGACAGTCAAGTCACGATGAAGCTGCGTACGCTGAGGCTGAGGAGCGCCTTGGTCCGAGAATGTATGGCTGAGTTCCTGGGAACATTTGTCTTGATGGTGAGTAACACTGGAGATGTATTAATATTTCTTAAACCTGTAAATAACCATTCAACTTGTTTCATCTGCTTTTATCCAAAAGAATAATCGGTAACCAACTCTTAAACTACTTTCAATAATTGCAGAATTTGCTGTTGCTAGGTATATATATATATATATATATATATATATATATAACCGATCATATATGTAGTCTGGATTAAGAAAAGTGTATCATGATGATAAAATAAAGTTTAATATATTGCCTGCCACATGGCATCAATATATCTTGTTGTCGGTAATTTTATTACATCATTAATTAGATATTAACAGCTGTCAGCAGTTCATCATGATTGCCTGCTTGCATAAGCTTGTTTGATATGGCAAAACAAAAAGGAAAAACAAACAGGACAGGATTGCAGTGCCATATTACGGAGAATATCTCTCCTGTCAGACTTTCCTCCGTCTTCTCTGTTTAAGACATTCTTAGGTTCACGGAAAAAATAAAAAGCTCCTCGCTACTGCTAGCATTTTTGTCTCTTTAGGAGCTCTTAAAGGGTAACTTTGGGAATAACTTTTATTTTATTTTACTTTTATATTCTCTACAGAAAAATCTTAGAATCATAGATATTCCACGATATTTCCTAAAAAAAAATGATGTCACTATGCTCCACTTTTAGTCTTAGGATTTTTTTTGAGAATATGGGCCATGATCTTTATTAAAATCTCTTGGTATTTTAAAGATCATAATGTCGTCCACTTTTACAAGGCGTCAGAGCCTCTTGAACCACATCATCGCAACTCCTCCACTGTATTTAACAGTGTGCAAATTTCTGTTTCACACCAAACCAATCTGGAGTATTTGGTGTAAAGGTTTTGGATAATTTTACTCTGGTTTGACTAAAACTCAGCGTTCAAGTTAAAGTCACTGTGTCTTCACATATTTATGCTTCATGGTGGTCAGAAGCGTGAGAAACGATACATCATTGGAGCTTTTTAAATTAAGGGTTGCATAATGTTGTGTAAAAGGCGACCGTTTCACTTTCTGGTTTATCTCAGCTGCGCAGCAGTGATATTGAAATCATGTTTCCCTCATATTCATTTCTTAACCTGAGCTTTGCAAAATAATTTTGCCTCCAACCATTTTCAGCTCCTCTCTCTGTGTACCATGCAGCTATTTGGTTGCTCTGCAGCAGCGCAGGTAAAAACCAGCCGAGACACCAAAGGTCAATATTTGTCGATCAACATGTCCTTCTCTGTGGGGGTGATGTCAGCCATGTACCTGACCAAGGGGATCTCAGGTGAAATATATCACAAATTAACATTAGCCATCACTATTTAAATTGGTTGACGTGTACAGTTATTAAAATATCACTTCTAAAACCAGCTGCGCAGTAGCTGGTTGCTTATTCTTCTCGATAAGATGAGATTTATTGCTTTTACTCCTCAAATGTATCGCTGGAAATCTTTAAAAAAAAATAAATAAAATTGTCGTTAAGTTTTTAAGAGCGTTCTTTTGACTGACTTATTTATCTTGTGGAGATAATCTCATAAACCATCAGATTCTTGTAACTTTCTTTTTCACTTCTCCTACGTTTCGCCCTCAGGAGCCCATCTGAACCCCGCAGTCACTCTAAGTTTCTGTGTCTTGAGGAAGGTGAAGTGGGGGAGGCTGGTACCGTACTGCCTCTCCCAAGTGCTCGGGGCATATGTGGCATCGGCGCTGGCCTTCATGGTTTACTACGGTTGGTCTTTCTGTAATCACTGGATTATCTTCATACAAACCTGCTCTGATTTATTACCAGCAGCGTGAATGCAAACAAACAAGTACTGAACCAAGAATAATCCTTCAAGAAAATTCTTCAAACTCAGTAACTGACATAGTTAAATGGTAGATTCTTGAAGTAGATGATTGAAATAGGGACAGAGAAACCCATCATGAAAATTATTTTGTTTTTTTTTAAAAGCTAATTGACCAAAAGAAATATTGAATTTAAAAAATTTCTGGAGGTTCAATCAACTTTGGATTTCGTTCTGGCTTCTCTAATGTCTAACTGGGCTCATATAAACTCAGTGATCTCTAAAGAAAGAGGCTGAACTCGTTCTTTCTCCATCTGACGTGTTGTACCTGCCACTGCCTGGGATATTGTGTCCATTGTAATCAAGCTCAGAACCAACAGCCCTGAACAGGTTTAACTGGACTAGGTTCTGCATTAACGCCACCCCAACATCCTGAAGTGCAGCCCAATCGTTGTACCAACCAAAATCTGTCTGCAGCAGTGGTTTTAAACGTCTACAAAAGTAGACTACAGCAGTGTCAGCCAACATGAAATCCTACATCTTACAATGTCCTGGGTGTTCTTTGTTCAGGTGTCTATTACTTCTCATTTCATTTCAATATATTTAAATGCAGATTTCCTGAGAGAAAACTGTCCTCTCCCATTGCCCTCCATGGTAATAAGAGATTGGCACTAACCTAAATTAACAAACAAATGAAATACGTTTCAAAATACATATTAGAAAGTGAAAATTATTGGCAGAGGTTTTCAATACACCAATATTTTTTGCAATCTCCTACTTCATGGAGTAACTTGAGACACTTTATATAAGGCTATTCTGAAATGTCAGAATTGGTTTGTTTGCATTCACATCAGAAAATGTTTTTATTCAGGCAATGTTTGCAGTTAATTTTTTTAATGTTTCTGTTGCAGATGCTATAATGGAGTTTAGTGGAGGCGTGTTGACTGTTTATGGCCCAAATGAAACAGCATCTATATTTGCAACGTATCCATCCCAGTACCTCACGTTAGGGAGGAGTTTCCTTGATCAAGTACGAGTTTACCAGAATCAAACCATTGCTTTGTCAATTTTTCACCAACCATCAGCAAAACGTTTAAATGTTCCTGTCTTCAGGTAGTGGGGACTTTGTTACTGATGCTGTGCATCGTGAGTTTGGAGGAAAAGAGGAACACCCCCGCTCCATCTGGTCTGATTCCTCCAATAGTTGCAACAATTGTCCTCGGGATCTCCATGTCCATGTCGGCTAACTGCGGAGCTGCAATAAATCCCGCTCGTGACCTGGGGCCACGCCTTTTCACTCTGACTGCAGGCTGGGGAACCGAAGTCTTTACGTAAGAACTTTTATCTTGTTTTTGCTTATGTATAATAAAATTTCACACTAAAGAGAAAAGCACATATTTATACAGCTGAGATAAACAGACATTATTTTCTGTTTCTCAGAAAATTGTGTCTTTCTGAAAGATACATGCCACCTCTTCAGAGAACTGATAATCAAATGTCTGTTTCTTCCAGTCAAAGCTCTTCAAATGAACTTAAGAACCCTGCAAATTTACAAAGCAGCATTCACAAGTTGTTATGTTTTTCACAAACAGAAACTATGATCCTGAAGCTCTTTCCTCAGGTTTTAAACTGCGATTTCTTTTCAGGTGTTACAATTACTGGTTCTGGGTCCCAATAGTGGCTCCACTTATTGGAGGCCCTTTGGGTTCTTGTCTTTACTTGGTCTTCGTCGAATGGCAGCTGCCCACTCCAGAACTTCCTCAGGACAGGAGGACAACAGTCTCCACCATCAGCAACAGCATCAAAGAGCCGGCCACCAGCTGGGGAACAGGAGACAACTTAAAGTCAACATATTTTTAGTCACTGATCGGTAGCAAATCAATACACATGGCATAAAATAATAAATCTGACTGGTTGGTCGTAAATTGAGGATGTTCAGGTATTTATAGATGCTGGTAAATCGCACACGTCTTAAGAGCTTCTGTTAACAGAGTTATAATTATTTCTTTTTCTCAATAACTATACACTTGCGGAAACATTTTAGCACAATCATGCTGTTTGTTACATTAAACCTCTGTGTATTTCCATTTTTCAAAACCATGTTCCCACTTTGCCTCCCTGATATAATCAGTGAAATGGTTTCCTAGAATGAAGCCGCGATATGATTGAAGGGTTACCTGTCCAGGGTGTACCCTGCCTCTCAACAAAGAACTGGGGAGGCAGGGTGAGATTTGGAGACACTGATCCTCATTCTGGCTGCCTCATAGATCGTAATCTGATGAAGCCAGTAGAACCATATCATCTGTAAAGAGCAAATACGCAATCCTAAGGCCACCAAAATGGAATCCCCTCAATAATTTGTCTACACCTAGACTTTCTGTCCAAAGGGCAGACTTGGTGCGATCCAACTCTCACTGGAAACCATTCCAACTTACTGCCGGCATCGTGGATCAATCTCTGGCACCGGTCGAACTGGGAATTAATAGCCCGTATAAAAGGGCATGGTACCCCATACTTGACACACTATTGTTTGGCGTTTCTTAAATTAGTCAATCCAAGAGTGCTACTCGTTTTCTTCGCAATGACTGGCTCTAGCCTCTAGAGCAGAAATGAGGAAGTTAACTTCTGCTAAGATGGTTTCCAGGGTGCATTTTACTGTAAATATCCTGTTTGAACTGTTCAAATAATCAGTTGTATGTGTTTTCTAAGAGAGTTTCAGGTATTCACAGATAATTGCAGGCAGCTATCCATGAATAACAGGATAGCTTGTCTAATGATACAAGAAAAAAATATAGTTTTTACGCAAACATTTAGACAAAACACTTTAAAACTTACTCCTCGTGCTTTAAGACCTCAGGGGACTTTAGTGAGAATTGTTTTGACTCGACCTGAAGTACAGCAAAGCAATCTGAAGTGGCCCGTAAGAGGTGAAAAGTTTGATCCAATGTGTGTTTGTGTACAACATATTAAAGAGAAAATTTTCAGTTTATTATAGTAGTGATATCTAGGAAACTTGTATCGGTAGTGCATTTTTCATGTCATTTTCCACACTATGTATAAAGCAAACAGCACCACGCTATTAGACTGTGAAAATTATGCATGTTGCAAACAATATATACACTTTGAATTTTAAGCTTTCTGAACTCAACCAGCAGAGGAAAATGGGTATTCATTAAAGAAATAAAGTTGTTTTTTTTTACATCAATGTTGTTGTTCATTATGATATTGATTCATTGTATCAGCAAAGAGATAACTTTCTATGAAATGCCTCAGTGAGCAGTAGGCGCAGATCAAACAAAGATATTAAAGTGGTTGTAGAAAGTGAGGAAATATATTTACTTATCTGCAAGGTTGTAATGCTCTACTTAATAAAGCAATCATTAGATAAGTCCATGTGAAGCTCTGCTGTTAGGTTTTGATTTATGAACAGCATAAAAGGCTTGTAAATACAACAACTTACAACCATTCAGCCAAACATTTGGTTTCTGTTAATCCCAGTTATGATCCACGTGACTTCAAGGTGTTACAAAAATATGATTTTTACTCTAAGCATGCCACAATTTTTCTGTTCTGCTTGAACTATTTATAAAAGATAAAATTTAATGTTAAAAAAAAAAAAGTCTTTATCACAGTTTTCTTTTCTGATCACACAATGTAGCATCTGAGTTTAAGTCTGGACCAAAATGCAGAACTTGGAATAATCAAACTGAGTATTTGATGATGAAATAAAATAAATCACAGCACAAGTGAAGAAGAACGTGGAAATGACTAGAAGGACTAAACAGAGACAACTGGGAACAGCTGAGGGAAAATGCAGGTAAAGGAGAATCGTGTGATGGACAGCAGCTGAGGGAAGGTGAAAAATTAGCAGAGAGATGAACTAGGAGTCAGAGAAGTTACAAATTAAGAGGGGGGAAAATAAGACTAATAAAAAAAATTCAAAAGCACAAAGAACAAAACTAACAATTAAATAAACTAACACAAACGAACAAACTTATAGGTCAAGATTCAAGAAAGTAAATAAACAAATGATCAAAACAAAAACAAATGAAACCCATTTGTTTTTACTTATTTATTCATTAGCACAGTAATAGAATATAATGTTATAAAAAAATGGTATTATAAGAGGTGAGGAGCTGCTGTAGAGCACATAGTAAACAGCAGAGGGCGCCATGACACTAAGCAGACAAAAAGTAGTATAGATAAGTGGTAAGACGTGTGTTTGAGGTTGTAAAACAGTTACGTATAAAATAAAAATGATATATTAAAAAAAGGCAAATTGGTCTAAAGCAGTTTATATATTTGTCTTGCAGACGTAAGGCATAATGAGAGAGAAATGTGAGACTGAGCAGATTTAGCTCCTGGAAGCAGGAAGTTCAGATGGAGAAGGTGAAGTAGGTGAAACCCTTCCTCCTACCTCTGCTCATCAACATCTCTCTCTCTTTCTCTCTCTCTCTCTCTCTCTCTTTCTCTCACTTGCCGTCTCTCTCTGTCTCTGTCTGTCCCTCCTCCAATCAAAGCCAGTCCTCCCTGGTCCTGACCCCTCTGAATGCTGGCTGAGTCTCCACCTTTGTTTCTCCTCTCCCCACTAAGTCCTCCTTTCATCGCATCGTCTCTAGCTGAAGTCTGAACCTCATCATGACCTCCAGCGTTTCCACAGCGTTTCCTCCAGAAACACATTTCTGACGCAAAGTTGAAAAAGGTAGGATGTTTTTGAGTTGACACCCCTTTTTTTTTTTATGTATGTAGCTGTCGATTTTGATGTTTTATGACTTCATCACAGGGAAATGTAAAGGTTTGTCTCAATGGGAAAGTGATCGATTTGTGTTGTTACACTAAAAAATATGTTTTTCAAAGTTGCCAATCATATAGAGCAGTTTATGTAGAAGAGGTGGTTAGATTCAGGGGATTTCAAATAAAGTCACTGTCGCTTTCTGTGAGTCATAACGTTTATGAAACTCAGAGTTCCTCCTGTGCCTGCAGACTGCCTTTACTTTCATTTGTTGTACGTCAGTTAAATAAATACCTCTCTAAACCGACTAAATCTGTATCTGATGTGACATGATGTGTTGATATGGAGTACAAGTAGAAATACAAGACGTTGGATATTATTTACAGACGTATTCACATACCTTTCCACGTTTTTGCTTGTAACGAAAACACAAACCGTTCTGTGTCTTATCAAGACTTCATGTGATAAATCGACACAAAGTCACGGATAGAAATGAAGTGGAAGGAAAAAGAATGGTTTTAAACATCGTCGCTGTGGCTGTGTGTTTAGTGTTGTTGTCCTGCTGGAGGGTCTCTGCCCCAGTCTCAAGTCTTTATAGCTTCAAAAAGCCTTGCGTTGTCTTCCTCTCCATCCTTCATCCCACCAACTATGACCAGCGTCTCCGTTCCTGTTGAATAGAAGAATCCACACAGCATGATGCTGCCGCCGCCATCTTTTATGGTGAGGGCAGTGTTTTCAAAATGATGTGGAGTTTTAGTTTTCCTGCCACCCACTTTGTGGGCTGCAAAGTTGTGTTTTGGTCTCGCCTAAGCAGAGGACCTTCTGTTTGCTGTTTCTCCTGCTACACCGTAGCTCTCATTATTCTCTGTCCTGCATATTTTAACGTGTCCCTGCATGACGTGTAAACATAAATGTCTTTCTGGGGAACACACATTTTAAACGTTTGATAAATAAAGTAAGTGCATAGCAGTCCCTGAAACTGTTACTATTGCTGAAGAAAATCCTGAAACTGTCACCCAGTTATTTTACAAGACTGTCACAGGATTTCATTCACAAGCTAACACTTCTTGTGTTTCTGTTTCTATATATGATTTCTGCTATAAAACAAAGTGTCTATACCATCAGAATTCATCATCAGGATCATATTGTAACATTTGTGAGAGTTCTTTAAAACACTTTTTTGGAGTTGTGTAATATCCTCTAACATCTGTCCATCCATCCATTAAAATGGTCTCTCCAGTGATTTTAGCGTTGCCCTAATCTCCTCCCAGTCTTACTTTAAAGGTTAAAGTAAGACTTAAAGTTTTAAAGATTAAGGCTCCTTGGTGCCATCCTGACCAGATGCCTGAACAACCTTTTTTCACTGCAGAAGAGCTTTCTGGTTTCTACCTCCAGATGGCCTCCAAATGTCCTTGTCAGAAGTCTGATCCTCCTCAGCTCTATACGGGGGCAGTCTTGCCACCTTTCGGTTTTCAACCACATGTATCACTTTGATGTAGTTTGTACGGATTTGGACAGCTCTGATTTACTTACGGTGGTGTGACAGACTCCTGCATTACTTTTCACAGTAATGACAGGAGTCTTGCAGGTGGTGTTGCAGTTCAAAGTGGTAGATTTCGCTGGGGATTTTCACAAAGATCCACCAGACTCTTGTCAGACGACTGAAACACATTTAACCCAGATGTCAGGAATGGGGCTCAGTTACTCAGTTTGTCTCTAGTGGTTCTCACTTCCCCAAGAAATCGGTTTCGGTTCAACTGACCTGCGAGTCTCTAGGTTCACACCGGACGTCACTGATGGATAAGCAGAGAGGAAGAGGTTTGAAAACACAAAGGCTGAAGAGCGAAGAGAGGTGAGAGAGTACGGCAAGCTGCTCTCGCTCTCACATTGTTGTACCTACATGAAAAAAAAAAAAACACAGTGGCATAATGAAGGAAGGAAACTAAAGGTCAAGGCCGCTGTAAAGGATTGTGTGATTTCTAAAATGCAACAAGATGATTGTGTAAGAACTGGGATCCACTCAGCTGCTTCTCTGATCAATGCTCTCTTTGTTCAAACCTTAGAAAAATGTTTTCTAAAGTAACCCAGTCTCAAATGTCTCAGTAGTTTCCTCTCTGACCTGTCTGCCATGTTTCTTGTTCTTCATCACTGACGCTTGATTACGCTTTTGCAGTTGTTGTCTCTTTGATACTTAGATGTTGGTGGAGATTGATGTTTTCTCTTCTCACACTTAAATCTTTATTCACTCAGTACATCCACAAAGTTCTGACCTTTCCTTCATCAGTAAATACATCTAACCTTTTTTGCTCCGTAAGCCTGTATTGTTTCCTGACACCCACATTCATTAGAGTTTATTCAATTGCTCCAAACTCCTTTAAATCACAATCGAGAGTTTTTACTTTCAAACAAGACCGATTTACGCTTTGGGTTTCCAGACCTCTGCGTGACCTCCACAGTTCCAGTAACAGTCATTTGATAATCACATTATGCACCAAGGAAAAAGAGCTAGTTTAAAGCATTTTGCATTTGCCTTGCAGCCTTCTTCAGTTTTTTTTTTGTTTTTTTTTTTTGCCTGAAGATTTACTGCCTAAGGCTTAAATTACCTGAAACAAGCCATAATAATACAATTAATCACCATGTCTTGATAAAAATAACAATTCTGCTCCACTTCTTACTGAAATCGTCACAATGAGAAATTTTAGCCTGCTGTTTCCAAATGTTTTCATGCCTCTGCGGGTTTGTGGAGTGCAAGGAGTAACAAGATAGCAGGCGGGGGGGAAAAAATGTAAAGCAGGGTTGGAAAGCGAAGATGGAAACAGTAGCTGAAAGTTAATCTGCCCAACTGGCATGGAGAAGAGCAGAGCAGCTCCTTCTCAAAGAGTATTGATTAGTGATTTGATGTTTGCTGCCTTTAGCGTCTGCTGTATTGTATGCACCGCTAAACCCAAGAGTAATGGCTCATCTGTCATCCTCTGCCTCCCAGCTTCTGTACTTAACCGAGACAAAGCACGGTGAATAAAAGCACCGAGGTATGCCACAGAATCAAGTCAGCATAAATGAAGAGGGGAGGAAAAAGGAGAGGTTTAATTGTGCAGTGCGTCCGCTCTGTTATTCTGTCTCCTCCGCCGGAGAGGCAAGAGTGATGGTGTGTCTGGCCAACGCCACCAGCCTCCCAGACAGAGAGTGAGACAGATGCAGCCATCTGCTGAATGTCATTTCCTCATTACTGCTCTCAGAGAGCAGAGATGGTCTGCTGGACGTGCACGAGGGTCCCGTTGTGCAGCGGTTTCAGTGCATGTCCGATTTGCATCCTATTTTCACTTGAAAATAAACCCTGTGCATCAAAAGATAACACTTACAGCTTAGTTTGAATAAAAAGAGAGGTGACTGTTTGTTAGTGCTTTTTGTCACACTACCTGTTTTTGTGGGTTCTTAATTCCCTTCTCCCTCCTGCTTTGAATCAGCGCAA